AAAAAATGTTCGAAATAAAAAGCAAGAAAGAAACTATTGCATCATATACACAAAGATATCAATATTGCTGGGAGGCACTTGGATATTGGGATTAGTATTTGCAGGCGTCAACACAAAACCATTTCAATATCTGAATATTTGTTTGAATGGCTTGCAAGGTTTCATCCTCTTTTTCGGTTTTGTCGTGAATGCCAGAGTAATACGCACGTTTTGCAAAAAGAGAATGAACACCTCGTCAACTATGTCCCTGCAATCCAGTGGAATGACAGATATTACTCACGACTCATCAGTATCTACAGAACATCGTTTCTAGAAGGTTCTAAAATTTCGATCTAGAGTCACAGACGATGCATGTCTTCTTGCATTTTACTGAACACTTTTAAGATGTGTTCATAAACGTAAGTGTATGTTGTAATGTTAGCTGATTATTGGGGTTTAAATACAACCCTTAAAAGTTGTCTTTAACGAATGAACAAATAGCCACCTTCAGTCGAGCCATAAGTGATACTTGGGTGACAACAAAGAAACGGATTGTACAAGCGTTAAACATAATGGAATAAGTTTAAATAAGTTTAAACCATGTCGCCCTGAAGTCGACGAGGTTACCCACAAATTGTGATCAGTGTTTTGTTCATGGAATTTATTTGGTGTCTCGGTGTCAATCCGTTAACAGGAATAAAACTACCAAGCATGTTTTGCTTGTGAGCTGTTGTACTCACTTGTAAACTACGATTGGCATCGCCTGGAATTGGTTCATCACTTGTACGCCATATTAATTCAGAATTTCTCTCTCTCTCTCTCTGATGACTAGATGAGACATGGCTTTCGCTTCATTTATATGTTGAACAATGTAAGCTTCGTTTTTTGTTCGGTTTTTGTTTTTGTTGCATTATGTAGAGCTAAACAAATTGTACATATAATGAACTGTTTGATTGTGATTGCATCAAAACAAACTTTTGTGTACATAAAGCTGAAAAGCGTTTTGTTGTTGATACGTAAAATATAATATTGAAGTACAATTGTCATGACGTTTTAAATGGTTTCTTTACGTTGGAAATACATATCAAAAATGTTCTTCAATCTCGTTTAGATTATTTACCCTTATTATTGTGATTGTATCAAAAAATTACTTTTGTTAACATAAAGCTGAAAAGCGTTTTATTGTTGATACGTAAAATATAATATTGAAGTACAATTGTCATGACGTTTGAAATGGTTTCTTTACGTTGGAAATACATATCAAAAATGTTCTTCGATCTCGTTTAGATTATTTGCCCAAGTTTGCAAGATTCAAAAGTCTTCATCCTGAAATAAAACCCTCTGTGATCTGGTATTTATATTTTTCAAAGTGTCATCCAACCCGATTGCGAACATTTGAAGACGCAGTCGCCAATTATATATCAGAATGCAGAAAATAAGAGTTAGCAGCTTTGCGGGATACTCATTTTACTTATTGTACGTAGGAGTCCAGGTGGCTATGCTCTGCTGGGTGCTCCAAGCGCTCCCATTTGTGATGCCTTTCCTGCTAAGTTAAATCACTCAAGTCAGTTATGAGGCGTTCACTATTAACTCTCCAGTAAATGGTAGGTTTTGAAATGCTTAATTTGTAGCAGGCATTGCAATGTTGGTCATGTCGTTCCCCTTTTGTTAATGGCTGATTAGCTGTCTATTTATAGAATTGTGCTAAGAACTGATACTTATAACCTCAATTGCATGTCAATTTTAGTTTACACCATTTGTTTTGTCTCACTTGCACTCTTTCTTTTCATACCTGGTGTACTCTTCAAACTTCGGAAGAAATAAAAATATGAATAAATGAGAAATATGTAGTTAGTGAAAACAAAACGTTTAGAAGCATGTATACATTGTATCGTTGAATGTTAGAGAAGTGTCACCAACAGCTGATAACACTTGATAATATCTATCTTTTATACTTTTATAGATAAATGTATTTGTTAATTTACATTTCCCAACAAACGCACTCCGCTTGGCCCAAAGGTGTTCTTGACTAAATTTGATTTATATCAATATGGAAGGATATACTTTTAGATTTTCCTCTATTCCCCCTCTTGGGCCCACTCCTCTGCCACAAGGGAAGCAACACTACCATTTTGCTTAAGTATGTTCCAAATAAAATTTATTCAAAATCCACAATCACTGCTCGGGACTAATATTGTTTTAAAAGAAAATTTGATGGACGATAGACGATGTCCCACACCATAAGCTCACATAGTATTTTAAAATATCACATGACCAAAAACAGAGATATCGTAATAAGTTATTTGAAAAAGCATAAAAATGTAACCGCGGAAACTACCTGTCCGGTAATCTAAAATGGTAAACAGGTCTTAGAAAAATCTAAATGTTTTATAATGATGTTTTACTGTACAATGATATAATCAGACACACTAGAAACACATATATCATTCTAAAACAATACAGTAGATAGGGTTGGTTATACAGGGTTTAACATCCTATCAACAGCTAAGGTCATTTAAGGATGTACAGTAGAAAGGAAGTTTTCTATATTGGAAAAATTTGAAGAAATGCAAATGTATGCATGCTGTATATGGGCGGAGGAATTCGTTTATGTAAGATAATGCAAATTGAAATAAAATGTATGCAGAAAACAATGAAATGTAGTGACAGTGCTTATATGATTGGATTTTTTACTGAACAGTTTACGATACCTAAATATTGTGTAAACATTTTGTTGTAGAGTATGAGCTACCATAAAACTTAACACCTGACACTAAAATAAGTAACAGCTTTTATTTATGAATAATGTCCAAAAAAAAGGTTGTATTCTTTTTCATTGCTACTTTAACAGTTCAACAAATTGAGTTATACAATGATGTCTGTTTGTTTCAAATAGTATAATACTGAAACATGGTAACATTCTTGTCTCAAGAATTTCGAAAATATAATATACCTGAAGCAATCTCACACTTTCTTACATGTCAGTTTATTGTATCGCTATACAGTGTATCAGATTATGTCTTACTAACAAAAATACACATCCAAAATGTATATCATGATGAACACATGACGTTTTAGCCATAACATGGATAAATTAAATGACGTTTCAGTAACAGAAGAGAATGTGTAAAATTAGGTTTATCTTTAAATGCAAATGTTATCGAGGTAAAGCATTCATCAATGTATACTGTCCAAAATCATCCAAATAAAAAAGTAGTTCCTTTGTGAAGTAGTCCCCAGTTATAATTATAATAGTTCTTATGTAATCGGGCCTGCTTCGCTTAGTTGTCTTTAGTTTTCTAAACTAAACAAGGAGTTGATTTGCTTTTGTTTTACTATTTTAGCTTATTTAATGACCCAAATAATTATAGACTGCAGTAACACTTGGTAACGGTAATGGAATATATAAGTAAGTAGGAATTGAGACTTGGACATTAGATCCTATTGTCTGAATCAGAAGGCATAGTCCCTTTATGCACTAGATTTAATAAATTTAATGACGCAAACAAAGACTATTTTCTTAGTTTGAAATGCATTTACTGATGCTAGTTGAAATAAATCATAAAACATGAATTGTTGTACTTTTGTAAAGAGTGATCCATTTGGGTTCATCCTCACTTAGTTAACGTACACGGCCCCTTTCGCGTATCCAGGCCAACCAGTTGAAATCGTTGAACCTGAAAGGAAACGACAGGCTCAAATCTGAACCGAGGCTGAACTCAGGAATATTCGGCACATGATGATTGAGGGGTTTAGACGTGCCTGGCCGAAACCAAATTGCTGACTATTGCTAGTTGCATTATTTCATTATAAAACAAAGTCAATCCAGATGCAGATTTTAAGATACATAATACAATTTAGTGGACGTGTGAAAGAAGGAAATATCATTCTTTATATATATTGTTTTATATTCTCCGAAATAGTGCATTTTTTTGCTTTGAATACAGTTGGGTCCAAGTGTGTTTGTTTATCGTGAAATATTTCTGCGTCACCTGAACCGTTTCAACCGGGATACTCGAATGTACATAAACATTTCTGGGTTAAAGTCAGGAAGATCTACAGAGAGTGCATGGGATAAGTGATGGCAGCCCATGTGCTATAGCGAAGGACAAATGGATTACCTCCCTTACATCTGGCTGAACATATTTGCCAGTGTCCCACTGCTATAATACAACAACATGGCTTGCATTTACATATGAAGAAATTACACTCTCAATGTGGCAACTAATGAAAAAATAAATTCACAAACTGGATACATGTATAAATAAATTTGTATTAAACAACGTATTGAATTGCTAGGTATACATTTATGTGTCTCATAATATTTGCTCTGAAATTCAAATGAACAGATCTAGCACTTTTATAAGGGGTTAACATGGACGAAATGCTTACAACAATATATCCTTCATGTATCTGGTAAAATAAAATGGAAGAATTTTAAATTGTTTTACAAAACCCGGGTTAACCTTAACAAATCAATATGTGTGTTATCCTCGAACACAGAAAAAAAAACATGAAATATGTTCTCATTCAATTAACATATTATAATATCTAATTCATATTCACTGAGGAAATGTAGAATAACACAATTCACTGAATAGTTAAAATATGTGTATGTTAACAGAAGACTGACACGATAAATGTCAAACAATTAGAATAGAAAGCCTTTTAGCATCACATCGATCTCCCTTCCATCAAATACGTGTCTCATTTTTACCAGTCATATTTAATGAAGTCTGACTCTGTTGCGCCAAACATTGATCCACTTCCAGCGAAACTATAACAGAGCATCACAATCCCCACTATGAAGGACCCAAACTCTTACAAACAGATATTCACTGGATTTTAGACTGAACTGCAAGTGTTCTGCCTGCATGTGTTGGATGTTGACAAACCTGCATGTGTTCTGCCTGCATGTGTTGGATGTTGACAAACCGACAATCTGTACTGACTGATTCGTATAGATTGACACTATAGATAGCTGATCACCAAACGAATCTTCATAGATATTATACTCCTAGCTACGATTGCATCAGCCTTTGATTAAAAGGGTTTTCTGGAGACTTCATCCAATCTTTTCGTAACATTTGTTTTAATTGTGAAAGTCTTAAATTTGGGTTCACCTTTTTGAGCTGTGGTAAACGTTCGTCTTCGTATTTTTGGTAAGCAGCTTTGACCCTCTTCTCCGGATGCATATCAATTTCTGGTTCTTTCACACTGAAAATATTAAAGTCAAGTTACTTAATTCATATATATTTCAGAAATTCTATATCTACACTAATGATCTGGCACACTTATAATTGATAACAAAATACATTAATTGCAGGTGTCTAAGGATCATAGTATTTAATACTGAAATACTATAACCTGTACAGTTGCCAAAGGTCCATCGTTTGTGTCCAGCACATGTGAGAATATAACTTAACTTACTTACTTACAGATAAAAACACACACAATAATACTAATTCCATTTACTATAATAATCTTGCACTGGTAATCATGATGGTGTACCCCTGATATGTTATTTGATTTAATTTTAACAATGTCTTGCAAGAGCAAGGGTCATATGAAGACAGAAGACAGGGAGACACTGCCAGAAAGAGAAAGTAAAAAAGAAAGAAAGTAGACAGGAAAGACAGGACACAAAAATATATACATTTCTCACTTTCTATAAGGATACCTTGTTTTTCTGTGACGGATCTATATGGTTTACTAAAACTCCTGTATAGTTTAAACTTTCTTTCCTTAGGGTGTAGCCATCAAGTATTTTATTTACTGTTTTAAATACACCTGACCCCTGTTACCTTAAATGTAAGTTAAACGCATTATTTATAAAAGCTTCATAATCCTTTTTAACAAGCTATGCATCATATATATAGTTCATATAGAAGAAGTAATTTGAAGATTTTTAATAATTGTCAAAGCCATTTATTTGAATAAACATAATAGCCCATCTCCCTAGCAAGGAACAGGCCAATTCTAATTACTCTGGGCCTTATGTTTCATCAGAAGACACCTTTTGAAGATTTTAATGTGAAACTGAGCCCTAGTATTCCAATTAATTACTATGAGTCAAATGGTTTAAAAGATTTGTATACATTTAAACAATTTTTAATGAGAAAAGAATTTAACATATTTGATGCCTGTAGTATAGGTAATTTAACTAAAGATAGCTATTACCTTTCATTAAAGCAAGTCATAGCCAAGCAAATATCATACTATACACGCCTTGTGTCTAGATTTAATTTAAAGATTTCAACATATGGCCTATTGACAAGATAGATGGTTTAGAAGTAGTAATTATTTTCAAACAAAAAGTTGAAGCCAACTCAGTTATAGAGAAAGCAACATTGCTTAACCCTTTCACCCCTATGTAACTTTAGTAAACTCTTCCATGCATTGATCTGGATGAGTCCATTATGGTCTGCAGTGGTGAAAGGGTTAAGCTTACAGCTACTTTGTACCAGGTGAGGTAAGGAAAAGAACAGCAATGAAACAATATTGAGCCCTCATACTACCAGTCTGACACTTACCTGAGTACTGAAAGGGCATCATCTACACTGCGAGCCTCTCCATCCGTCGGAATCAGTCTGTTGACATTATCATCAAGCGGTGCCTCTTCCGGATAAGCATTAGCTTTTGCTGTAGCAGATAATTTAATTAAACAAAAATAGAAAATACTGTGAGAACTGAAAAACCCTTCTTACTTATGCTGCAATAATGTGTTTTTTTAAATTAAGTACTTAATCTTACCAAAGCTGTGTTTTTATCAGTAAAATTATCTACATCTGCTTATCGTTTTTGCTGCCCAAATACATGGTCACTCTAAATTCCAAAGTCAAACTGGACACCTATGTGGAATAGTTTCATAAGACATAACAATAATTGGAAAATTAGAAACACATCATATTATTCTACAACATATTCTACAACATTTGATGTAGCATACTTATTTGCTAAAATAAATCACTTTTATAAAATCCATACAATATGTTTTGTACAACTCAAGTAATATCAATATTAATATGAGGCTTCCACGGGATATACTTTACTGAGGGGTAACAACTAGCCATACGCCACCATACTTAATTCCACTACATAATTGTGTTCCTGTTTATATATATATGCTAGCATGAATGCTTTGTGATTTTTCTACTAAATTTATTTTCACAGGTGTCTGTGGCTTGTGTTTTTTGCATTTATTTTGGGATAATAAAGAAACAACTTAGGGGAAGGGGACTTTGTAAGGTCCCAAATTCACCCTAAAATGTCACTATATATTTAGTGAACTGTTTTGTGGCCATTGTAGAACTGTGCTTCTAACAGCATTTCTATTTTTCATAATACCACCCCATTTGAAAGTTACAGAGCAGACAGTGTAGCACCCGACCCAGACTAGCGTATAGTCCACCTAGGTTGAAGATGTATAGCCAGAAAAATACATGATAAATTGTTAAACTACAATAAGGTACAAATGACTGAGATAATATGAATTACTATATTGGGGTATCCAGGCGGGTTGCCCCGATGATATTGTTTTCGGCAATAATGATGTTCAGAGTACGATATATGACGTATGTACGTTGTTGTATAAACCTCCAAGCATGTCAGCACAGCCCAGATATTGCCTACTTTAGAGTATCTTTACAAATCCTTTCATACATGTACTGCCCAACAGCGCCTCTTTGAATATATGTAGGAGATATAAAGCACCATTCACGGAAAGTCACGCCATTTTCCAGAACCCGCATTCCAAACAATCTGCAGGACTAATCACAAGCCAAAGCAGTTGTATAACATCACTGATTGGGTACCTTTTTGTTGTATTCAACCCTTTGGAACTCATATTCAACTTCGATATAAACAATAACATTTGGCAGCTATATCAGCCAAAAGACAATGAGTGTCAATCAGGAATAAAAATACAAGGGGTTTGTCAAATTCCTTCAAACATCTTTTATTTGTCGAATACAACACTACCAGTGGAATCCATCGAAGGTACTCCAAACAGTGTTTTGCTTGAATTTTGATTCAAAGATATTTCTGAAAAGAACGAATCATTAGGCGACGTACAAAGTTCTGAAATGAAATGGAGAAATATACTGTCAATGAGGGACGTCGAATTAGTATCGTTTGCAAACAACGTAAATATTACAGTAAGCCGCGACCATTTCCTATTACAGGTACGAGGTGAAGGATTCTCATTTGTAAGTAATCTTATACAAATCCTTCAGCATGACCTAGATTTAGGCATGACCATAGAGATGACGAATTACCAGGATACAGAACAGCTTCAGTGCAAAAGAAATTCAAATGTTGTCAAAATTACACGGGCCTTATTTGACACTCTGGAGCTATTCCGTTGTCCATCTAATGGATTCATTCATGTCATTCGTAGTAGAATCTTCTAGATTTAAGATAGACATTAAAACATTTGAAACATCGGTTATTACAGAAATGCTCGTATGTAAGGAGGTTCCTTTCAATTTAACATGTAAATATATCACCTTTGACAAACGCAGTTATGATGTAGAAAATGAAACTATTTACCTTATAGCTGGTCATAACAAGAGGGAGTTGGTTGTAGATTATGAAATTCGTAACGACGTATTATATGTTTGTGTAGATATCGATATTACTAATATTAATAGTTATTCTGTATTTGATATCCTGGATACTGTAGCCGTATGTATTTCTATATTGTCTCTCCTAGTGTTATTGGTTCTTAATTGTATCTATCCAAGTCTTCTCAATCTTCCGGGTAAAATACTCTTTTCGTTTGCCCTGACTCTTCTTTTATCCTTAATACTTCTTGCCACAATGAACATATCAAGCAAAACAGATTTGTCATGCAAAGTGGTTGCAATTGTATCGCACTACTTATGGCTGTGTGTCTTCCATTGGTCCGCCATTATGGCCTATGAATTTGCTCGCATGTTTGGTTCAAAGATGCTGCAAAATATTAAAAAATCCTACGCTCATCGTTTTCACGTGTATGCAGCTATTGCGTATGGTTTTCCTTTACTGATCGTAACTGTTTGCATTGTTTTAGATCAAACACGCACTCAATTGAGTATAGGATATGGTGCTAACGGAACGTGCTGGATATATGAATCTATAGCCAGGATAATATTTGTCATTAGCCCTATAGGAGTCCTCCTAGTTGTTGAATTTACATCCCTTGTCATTGCAATTCATGGTATACAATCCAGTGGGGACGACATAGCACAGTTGTCACAAACGAGACAGAATCGTCGAAAATGTCTGATCTTTACAAAATTGTTCTTTCTTCTTGGCCTCACGTGGATTCTGACGTTTATTACGCCGTTTACTAAAAGCAGAGAACTTATTTATGTATCCATGTTTTTGAATAGTTTGCAGGGATTTTTTCTCTTTCTTATTTTTGCCGTGAATACACGATTTATGACTCTGATAAAAAGGACCTTTAAGAATAAAATAACATCTACAGCAACAAATTCAAATAACGCACAAAGTTTTGATCAAATTTAAATCTGATGATATGTAGTATTTTCAACCGAACTTGGTTTGTAATTTTATAATTATATGTCTCAATTGATTCGGTATTCAACAGCTTGCTCCGAATATTATGACTTCCGTGATGCATGTAGAATTACAACATTGCAGGTTGATTAAGAATATGAACAAGTTTTGTAGTAGCCATTTTGATCTCATACGGAAATAAATCGCTTCTTTGTATAATATGGAGGTCGATTATGCCCATACATGTAAGTGTGCCCTGCGTTTGTGATTTTGTTGTGACGTCATGACTTTTCTGTATAACGACGTGACATTACTTGGATTTTATATAGATGGCGGGTGTCATCGACGAGGCAGAAGAAGCTTACCCTCCTGGAACACCTGGTCATATTCTGCTTGTGTCTTTTCAAGGGCATCCATGTAAATCTTTTCTCTATTCATATCTTGCCCTAGTTTTGTATTTGTCGATGTTTGAGGAGGTCGAAAGATGGCGTTTTTGAAACTTTTCCCCACACTTTTAATATTCTGTTACGGCAAATAATGCTCCCTGATTGCAATTATACGTTACAGTTAGTATACGATGTATTATGTCAAAAACTTAAATAACCACACACAGAACCCGTAGTTGTATACACTCTTATTGTAATGGATACACCTATGTATCTAGTCAGAAAAACACAACGCTCATACACATGTAAGCCTAAGTTCAAAGACAACCTTTCGGAAATCAGCTTATAAAGACCATAAAATCGGCTGTATGTAATTTCCTCGTGTAGTAAAACATTGATTACCTATTGCTTGTCAACATAAGGCATATATCCAAAACCATATATATATAAACCGGCTTTTGGAAGCAAAGCACTGTATTATAAGATAAGCAAACGGGATGTTATATTTCTATACTGCTAAGGGCAGATAAGAAGCGCCGTGAAATAAAAGTAATCAGGGTCATCATGAAGCTTGTTAGTAAGGTGACAGTTTTGTGTCGTATTGTTTATGAGTGAATGTAAATCATGTCACATCTATTGAAGATGTGTATACATGTTATTATTGATTTGCGTAGTGTCCGCGACAAAGATATACTGTTACGTAATATTAATAAGACACATTGATATTTGCTTCAAGTTTGTATATGGATTAAATTGTTTCATTAAATATGTGATGTTTTTTCAACCATTTATCGGTAAATTTTGTCACCATCGTATTAAAATAAAGAGATGCATGTTTAGAATTCTTCGTTTCGTTTTCGATTCCTATAAACTATAAAAACTAGAAAGTAACGCCTTTGTATAAGATGAGAAAGCCAAACGTAAGTAGAATGATGGAAAATGTAACAGATACAATGAGAAGGCAAAGTCCAATTAGGGTAGAGTGACCAAGCACTTTCCTTCTGATGACAAACATTGAATACTATAAATGTATTCCTGTTGAAGTTCGTTTTCACGAGACAGTTACATGTACTATAGATCACGGGCCTTTTGTAGGGACATTAAAGAAATTGAAATAAATGTTGTATACTCACTAATATTAGATATCCTGGGTCCTTTATATTACAGTAGTTGATTTTGTTATGATAGTTATAAGATATCCATTGTACCTACAACGTTCGTGTATATGACATTTTGCTGAGGTGAATAAGGACTCGACTTTAAACAAAAATCATTATCCATGTCATAATTGGATGCAGATGATATTTATACAGAATTGCAAATCGTGTTTCGCAATCGATACACTATTGTGTAATATCAAAACATTTCGTTAATTGAATTTATTAAAGCAAAGGAATGAAACACGTTCACTTAAACGACTGACATCGTATCTAATTATCATAGCGCTAAGTCACGATTGTGCAATTACCAGAGAACTACGTTTTACCGTAGAGATTATGAGTAAAAAGCGCTTTGTTAGGCTAATGTGTTTATATATATATATATATTGTTTATAAATGAGCCGTGTATTAGATTTAAGGTTTTCCCTGATTAAAGAACCAATAATAACATTATCCCTAACGTTTATATTGTGACAATTTACATTTGCAATATCGACAGAATTCAATCAACGTTGGTATCCTATTCTTGTTTCTATTGACTATTACTCAACTGATTCTAGAAAACTGGAACCCATTAGCAATAAAGCATTCCCATGAGAGTAGAGCACGTACCAATATTAAGTACATTAATTGTAATGCAAAAGCGAATACGTGCTGATAAAGAACTCTATCCTAATTACTCTGGTCCTACCTTCCAATCATAAGCCGCGTCATATCAATTTAGGTCGGGTGGTTGTATGTATGACGGTAGAATTATATATAAAGCCATACTGGACGCCAAGGAATAAACGTCATCGTCATGAAGACTATAACCATTACCAGAATCGTACATGTAATTGTACTTCTTCTTATTCTCCTTTGGAAAGGTAAGTCGGACCAATAATTCATAGATGTATATTTGTATGTTACGTGTTAGTTCCAATACATTTACACTATGCAGATATACAGGCATAGTATTGAGCCCCACATAACTTTACTATCACACAGTTATCGCATGCAGCACTAGGTTTCACACAGTAACCTTATCGGTTAGCGTTAGTCCGATATGTCCGATTGAGATATCAAAATGCCACATATTGTTATACATGCATTACTAATATTTGTTCTCATTGTTTTTGTGTAGACCGATATAATAGTTCTCCATATTTAATGTCATAATTTAGTTGTAAATAACTAATGCTTTAAATAGATCTGTGAGCAATAGTTAAGCATTAATCTGCTTTGATCTAAAAGGACGCATTTACTACGGCTGGTCAATAACACTATAACTTCGGATATTATACAGGAATCATATTATAACAAGGAAATACATTTAAAATCCTGTGCGCAGAATAAAAGTGGTGAGACATTAACATCACTCAGTAGATACTGGTTGGTATTAGTATGATATCAACTATAGTACTGTCGCTTATTGGAGGATTATTCTTGTTTAAATACTTGGAATATATGCAGACCATAGTTCCTGAAAATGCATGCAAGACTTTAGATCACAACAATTTCATAGTACTATATGAACGATTTTAAAGGAACAAGAAATAACATAATCTTATTTGACATACATGTTTTGCATATATACTTTCTATCAAAAATAGACATTTGATACAAAGTTGCATTGTTTCCAGTTGACTGGAGTGGTGCAGAACAAGAGGACTCGGATGAAGATGCCAAGGATAAATCATTTCCCTCCGANCATCCCTTGTCATTGCAATTCATGGTATACAATCCAGTGGGGACGACATAGCACAGTTGTCACAAACGAGACAGAATCGTCGAAAATGTCTGATCTTTACAAAATTGTTCTTTCTTCTTGGCCTCACGTGGATTCTGACGTTTATTACGCCGTTTACTAAAAGCAGAGAACTTATTTATGTATCCATGTTTTTGAATAGTTTGCAGGGATTTTTTCTCTTTCTTATTTTTGCCGTGAATACACGATTTATGACTCTGATAAAAAGGACCTTTAAGAATAAAATAACATCTACAGCAACAAATTCAAATAACGCACAAAGTTTTGATCAAATTTAAATCTGATGATATGTAGTATTTTCAACCGAACTTGGTTTGTAATTTTATAATTATATGTCTCAATTGATTCGGTATTCAACAGCTTGCTCCGAATATTATGACTTCCGTGATGCATGTAGAATTACAACATTGCAGGTTGATTAAGAATATGAACAAGTTTTGTAGTAGCCATTTTGATCTCATACGGAAATAAATCGCTTCTTTGTATAATATGGAGGTCGATTATGCCCATACATGTAAGTGTGCCCTGCGTTTGTGATTTTGTTGTGACGTCATGACTTTTCTGTATAACGACGTGACATTACTTGGATTTTATATAGATGGCGGGTGTCATCGACGAGGCAGAAGAAGCTTACCCTCCTGGAACACCTGGTCATATTCTGCTTGTGTCTTTTCAAGGGCATCCATGTAAATCTTTTCTCTATTCATATCTTGCCCTAGTTTTGTATTTGTCGATGTTTGAGGAGGTCGAAAGATGGCGTTTTTGAAACTTTTCCCCACACTTTTAATATTCTGTTACGGCAAATAATGCTCCCTGATTGCAATTATACGTTACAGTTAGTATACGATGTATTATGTCAAAAACTTAAATAACCACACACAGAACCCGTAGTTGTATACACTCTTATTGTAATGGATACACCTATGTATCTAGTCAGAAAAACACAACGCTCATACACATGTAAGCCTAAGTTCAAAGACAACCTTTCGGAAATCAGCTTATAAAGACCATAAAATCGGCTGTATGTAATTTCCTCGTGTAGTAAAACATTGATTACCTATTGCTTGTCAACATAAGGCATATATCCAAAACCATATATATATAAACCGGCTTTTGGAAGCAAAGCACTGTATTATAAGATAAGCAAACGGGATGTTATATTTCTATACTGCTAAGGGCAGATAAGAAGCGCCGTGAAATAAAAGTAATCAGGGTCATCATGAAGCTTGTTAGTAAGGTGACAGTTTTGTGTCGTATTGTTTATGAGTGAATGTAAATCATGTCACATCTATTGAAGATGTGTATACATGTTATTATTGATTTGCGTAGTGTCCGCGACAAAGATATACTGTTACGTAATATTAATAAGACACATTGATATTTGCTTCAAGTTTGTATATGGATTAAATTGTTTCATTAAATATGTGATGTTTTTTCAACCATTTATCGGTAAATTTTGTCACCATCGTATTAAAATAAAGAGATGCATGTTTAGAATTCTTCGTTTCGTTTTCGATTCCTATAAACTATAAAAACTAGAAAGTAACGCCTTTGTATAAGATGAGAAAGCCAAACGTAAGTAGAATGATGGAAAATGTAACAGATACAATGAGAAGGCAAAGTCCAATTAGGGTAGAGTGACCAAGCACTTTCCTTCTGATGACAAACATTGAATACTATAAATGTATTCCTGTTGAAGTTCGTTTTCACGAGACAGTTACATGTACTATAGATCACGGGCCTTTTGTAGGGACATTAAAGAAATTGAAATAAATGTTGTATACTCACTAATATTAGATATCCTGGGTCCTTTATATTACAGTAGTTGATTTTGTTATGATAGTTATAAGATATCCATTGTACCTACAACGTTCGTGTATATGACATTTTGCTGAGGTGAATAAGGACTCGACTTTAAACAAAAATCATTATCCATGTCATAATTGGATGCAGATGATATTTATACAGAATTGCAAATCGTGTTTCGCAATCGATACACTATTGTGTAATATCAAAACATTTCGTTAATTGAATTTATTAAAGCAAAGGAATGAAACACGTTCACTTAAACGACTGACATCGTATCTAATTATCATAGCGCTAAGTCACGATTGTGCAATTACCAGAGAACTACGTTTTACCGTA